TATTGTTTTTATATTGTATATGTGATTTCTAAATAGCATATATCAAAATTGTTTTTGAAATCTAACTTGATCACTTTTATTTGTTCTTAGGTGAGATATTTATACCTATGTAGGTATTTGCACTAATTTCTACTCTCTAGCTTGACTTTTTGGCTTACTATACTTCATTTTTTATTTTCTTCATTCCTATCTGCTTTTGGATGGAAATACTGGACTATATACTTTTTCTCCTCTGCTTGTTTGGAAGCTGCAGATCATTTATCATTTTAGTCTTTTCCCCTAAAATTTTAACACATGCATTAAACCACTAATTTTCCTAAGGGAATATAGTGATTCTATACTTCTTTTTTCCTCCTGAATATATCAAGAAATTAGCACTCATTAGTTACTGATTAATAATCTTCCTAATTTTCTAATTGTCATCTTGAATTCTACCCTTACTTTAAAAACTATTATGAAATAGTTAAGAGTCACAAAAGTGATGAAGTTAATACAACGCGTATTCATGTATCCACAACCCAGCTTAAGAAATAAAACATTATCTACAAGATCTGAGACTGTAGTTTGCCTCTCCCTGTTTACTTCTCTCTCATTATCTAACCTCCACTCCCAAGGTCATTTCTATTCTGGATTTCAAATAATTTCTCTACCTTTCTTTACACTTTTAAAAAAATATGAATTCTTAAATAATGTTACATGCAATTATTTGCTTGTTTAATAATTTTACATATTTTATTCTACTTCTTGAATATTTAAGTTCTGAAATGTAACTCTTTTGCTCAATATTAGTTTGTGTGACATAGTCATATTGATAGATATTATTCTAGTTTATTCATTTTCATGGCTATACTGTATTATATTACTTTTTATGAATGTATCAATTTATATACTCATTTTCTAGATGGAAATTTAGGTTATTACCAACTTTTGTTATTACAAACAATGTTTCTGTAAATGTTCTTGACACTATTCACAGTAGCAGTGATATGGAATCAACCTAGGTAGGTACTCATCAATGGTGAATTGGATAAAGAAAATGTATACATACACCATGGAACACTATGCAGTCATAAAAAGAATAATATGTTCTTTGCAGCAACATGGATGCAGTGGGAGGCCATTTTCTAAAATGAATTAATGCAGGAACAGAAAATGAAATACCACATAAGTCTAAGAGTTGAAGTTATTTAAAAAAGGACTTGAATGTGGTTTCTTATACAAATATGATTGATTTTTTTCTCGATGATGCAAATTCAGTAGTGAATTGTTGAGATATTGAAGATGCCCTCTTTAACTTTAATATATGCTGCCAGATAATTTTTGCTTATTTTTTACTCCCCTTGCAATATGAATTGTTTCCATAGCTCCATATCTTTGCTACCATTTTGCCAGTTGGATAGGTGTGAAATGGCATCTTTTCATGGTTTTAATTTGTTGTTTCCAAATTACTAGTAAGGTTGGACGTATTTTCATATGCTTATTGGGCATTTAGTTTTCCTTTTCTGAGAATTCTGTTTGTATTTTTTGTCTTTATTCCTATTGGGTTGTTTTCTTTTTCTTACTGATTCACAGAAACTCTTAATAAGTGTATAGTAATACTTTGTTGAGATTTCAGAACCAAAGGCAAACGTTTAGGATCATTTGATGATTAATTTTATGTGTCAACTTGTCTGAGGCATGAGATATTTACATATTTGGTCAAACATTATTCTGGGTATGTCTATAAGGGTGTTTCTGGGTGAGATTAGCATTTCAATTAATAGACGAAGTAAAGCAAATTGCCCTTCCTAAGCTAAGTGACTGGGACTTAGCTAATCAATTGAAACCTGAATAGAAAAAAAGGCTGAATAAGAGATAACTTCTCCTACCTGACCATTAAGCAGGAACATCAGTTTTTTTTCTGGCCTTTAGACTCAGACTGAAACATTGGCTCTTCTTGTGTCTCAAGCCTGCTGAGTTTTGGACTGGTACACATACCATTAGCTCTCCTGGCTCTCAGGCTTTTGGACACAGACTGGAACTACACATCAGCTGTGCTGAGTTTCTAGTTTGTTGACTGCAAATCTTGCAACTTCATACACACATACACACACACACACATACACACACATACACACACATCTTATTAGTTCTATTTCTCTGGAGACTTCTGACTAATACAGAACATGAACTCCAAATGAAGAAATGGAACACATCCTTAATGGAACCCATCCTTAATTCCTAGTCCAGGGACCAGGCCAGACCAGCCACTCCATGAAGGAACCCAACAGAGCCGGGGGCTACCTTGTGGATCTGAGACCCCTATTTTCCTCTGCCGCTGTGTGGTCTTGTGTACTTTTTTACTCACCTGGATAACATCTTGGAGAGGATTAGGGATAGAAAGAGGAGTCAGGAAGACTGAACTTTCATTAAAAAAACCCAAATCAGCTTACTGTAAAGGAGACATTTAAATCAGAAGAAAATAATGTAAATGGGTAAGTTTAAACATTCCCCTTGTCCCTATTACCCAGCAGAGTGAAGACTCATGAGAAAGATGAGATTAATAATGGAACATAAAGAACTCTTCTTTTGTATATTTGATTATAGAGCGTACACTTCAGTACCTTTTGGTTATGTTAAAATCCTGTGTTAAATACCAAACAAATTTCAATCATTATTCCACTAGATTATTATACTTTAACATTTTAAGCAATTTCTCCTTTGCTTAAACAACATTTACAGCTACTTTTATGATTTTTGACCCTATTTTAACAATAGCTAACTATTAACATATCTTAATTTATTTAGTAAGAGATACCTGAATGTAAGAGTTTATGCTCCACAAGGGGAAGAACAAAGGCAAATTTTAACAGAGATGTTCATACGTATATGCATTATTAAAACTGCACAACATGACCTTACCGTTCTGAATATCCACTTTCCCGGGCAAACCTCTGAAATGCACCCATGGGATCTGAGCCTGTGCTTAAGATGAATACCAGGGGAGTGTTGCATGACATGTCTTGATACAGTGTAGCCAGGTCCACAGGTGGTGTCTCTATAAACTGTTTTCCAAGATTTTCTATCACAAAGTCTGTAAGAGCAAAAACCACCTGAAAGTTGAAAAGAAAAAAAAAGTATGTTGAATGAGGATCCTTCAAAATTTTATCCTAATTTTCTCCTTCAGCCCCTCAGAGGATGGTGCCTTGTGTTTTTGTACTTATTCTGTCTTGATTGGGTATACATCTTTATTTACTTACTTACTTATTTATTTATTTTTTATTTTTATTTATTTATTTTTGAGATGGAGTCTCGCTCTGTCGCCCAGGCTGGAGTGCAGTGGCACGATCTCAGCTCACTGCAAGCTCCGCCTCCTGGGTTCATGCCATTCTCTTGCCTCAGCCTCCCGAGTAACTGGAACTACAGGCGCCTGCCACCACGCCTGGCAAATTGTTTGTATTTTTAGTAGAGACGGGGTTTCACCGTATTAGCCAGGATGGTCTCAATCTCCTGACCTCGTGATCCACCCGCCTTAGCCTCCCAAAGTGCTGGGATTACAGGCATGAGGGTATACATCTTTTTATAGATATTATTTGGTGGATTTGTTCAGCAAATATCTGTAGACAGCTATGGTTCTCATGACTCACAAGCAAGATGAAATATTAGGTAAGAGGGAAGTCCCTCAACATTCACTCTATTTATGAAACTGCTGTCTTCCCTTCCTTGCCTCTTCTGGCCTGTTTCACATTATTGTGGACTTTACTTTCAGCCCCTACATTGTCTCTTTCTGCATTATTGATCTCTGTTTCCTTGATATTCCTATCATCATACAATTAAGCATTACTATATTCCATCCTTAAAAATAAAACCAAAACAAAGATCTTCCCTTGATGGCAGCTACTTTTCCAGCCACTATTTCATTTCTTTGCAACCACTCACAAGCCAACTTTTCAGAAAATTGGCTCAGTTTATTGTCTCCCTTTCTTCATCTCATTCACTCACCAGCCCCTTCTGACCCTTCTCTGGAACCAACCTCAGCCTTGATGATTATGCCCAGGCCTGGCCATTTCCTATATCAATTTGGTTCTTTCACTGATCCTACCCTACCTTACCTACCCCATTCCTGTTCTTGCTGGCCTTGTCCCTCCCCAACCCATATGGAGCCATCATGTGAGAGAAAAAGGTGTCTCCTCTTCAAGGGACTTTTAATGTGCCAGAAAGCCGTCATGATAAATACACAGCCTATAATATCTACAATGTGAATGACTCCCCCATAGGTTGCTCAGTGTACATCCTGCACAACTGTAAACAGCAGCCCTCCCCTTAGCCCTTCACTAGCTATCAACACCGTTCTGTCCAAACAAGCCTTACTCTGTGTGTGTGTATCTGTGTGTATGTAATGCTGTTGGGCAGGGAAGTGTCCCAACCTGGTCTAGGGCCATGGCCTTGGATCACACGCTTCTGTGGCCATTGGGAAAAGATGGTGTTCACATGCTTGTTCCTTTAAGTGGGGATGTATTATGGTACTAACTATAAAGGTGTCAGGGTCTAGGAGGAACAGCCATGCAATAGGGCCATCACGTTTGGGGCTTAGTTCTAATTCTAGTTGTGTCAATGTGTGGCTAAGTATAATTCACTTAACCTTTCCAGCATCAATTTCTTTATATTTTGTTTCAGGTGGACACTCTTTTTTGTATAAATTCATGGGGTAAAAGTATAATTTTGTTACATGCATAAACTGCAATAATGGTTGAGTCACTGCTTTTAGGGTTTCCATCACCTGAATAATGTTCACTGTGCTCATTAAGTAATTTATTTTATCATCCATCCCCTTCCCACCTTCTCACCCCTCTGAATCTCCATTGTCTATCATCCCTTTCTCTACATTCATGTGTACATAATATTTAGCTCTCCTTTATGAGTGAGAACATGTGATATTTGCCTTTGTGTGTCTTACTTGTTTCAATTAAGACAGTGGTCTTCAGTTTCATCTATGTTGCTGCAAGAGACATGATTTTATCTAATTTATGGTTGAATATAGTATTCAATTGTGTATATATACCACATTTTATTTATCCAATCATTCATTGATGGACATGTAGGTCGACTTCATATCTTTGCTACTGTGAACAGTGTTGTGATAAACATGAGCGCAATTATCTTTTTGATATATTGGTTCCTTTCCTTTGGGTAGATACCTAGTAGTGAGACTGCTGGATCAAATGATAGTTCTTTTTACTTCTTTGAGAAATCTCTGCCAGGTATGGTGGCTCATGCCTGTAATCCCAGCACTTCAGGAGGTCGAGGCAGGTGAATTGTTTGAGCCCAGAAGTTTCAGGTTGCAGTGAGCTGTGACTGTGCCACTGCATTCCAGCCTGGGTGACAGAGTGAGATCATGTCTCAAAAAAAAAAAAAAATTAATACTATTTTCCATGGGGGTTGCACTAATCTACGGTGGGAATGTATATTTCCTTTTCTCTGCATCTTCACTGACATTTGTTATTTTTTTACTTTTTAGTAATAGCTATTCTGACTGGGGTATGATAATATTTCATTGTGGTTTTAGTTTGCATTTCTCTGATGATTAATGATGTTGAGTATTTTTCATATACCTGTTAGCCGTTTGTATATTTTTTGAAATTGTCTATTTATGTCCTTTGCCTATTTTTAATTGGATTATCTCTTTTGTTATTGTTATTGAGTTCCTTGAGTTTCTTGTGTATTGTGGATATTAGTCCCCTGTCACATGCATAGTTTGTAAGTATTCTCTCCCATTCTGCAGATTATTCATTTATTCTGCTGATTATTTCTTTTGCCAAGCAGAAGCTTCTTAGATTAATTAAGTCCCATTTGCCTATTTTTTGTTGCCTGTGCTTTTGAGGTCTCAGTTGTTAATTCTTTGCCTAGACCAATGTCAAGAAGAGTTTCCCTAGGTTTTCTTCTAGTATTTTTATAGTTTCAGGTCTTATTTTTTAAGTCTTTAATTCATCTTTAGTTGGTTTTTATATAGAGTGAGATATGGGTCCAGTTTCATTCTTCTGCAAATGGCAATCCAATTTTTCCACCACCATTTACTGAAAGAGGTGTCTTTTTCCTTTTGTATGTTCTTGTTGACTTTGCCAAAGATTGGTTGGTTGCAAATACGTGGCTTTATTTCTGGATTTTCTATTCTGTTCCATTGATCTATGTATCTATTTTTATAACAGTACCATGCTGTTTTGGTTACTATAGCCTTGTAATATAATTCAAAGTCAGATAATGTGATGCTTCCAGCTTTTTCCTTTTTGCTTAAGATTGCATTGGCTATTTGGGCTCTTTTTTGGTTCCATATAATTCTAGGATTGCTTTTTCTAAATCTGTGAGAAACGATGTTGGTATTTTATAGGGTTTATGTAGAATCTGTGGATTGCTTTGGACAGTATGGTCATTTTATTGATAGTAATTATTCTTATCCATGGGCATGGGATGTTTTTCCATTTATTTCTGTCATCCACAATTCCTTTCTTCAGTGTTTTGTAGTTTTCTTTGTAGAGATCTTTCACTTCCTTGGTTAAACATATATATTCTAGGTACTGTTTTTTTTCTTTTTCTTTTTTTTTTTTTTGAGACAGAGTCTTGCTCTGTTGCCCAGGTTGGAGTGCAGTGGCACAATCTCCTCAGGTCACTGCAACCTCCACCTCCTGAGTTCAAGCAGTTCTCCAGCCTCAGCCTCCCAAGTAGCTGGGATTACAGGCAAGCACCACCACACCCAGCTAATTTTTTGTATTTTTAGTAGAGATGGCGTTTTGCCATGTTGCCCAGGCTGGTCTTGACCTCCTGAGCTCAAGCAATTCACCCATCTTCGCCTTCCAAAGTGCAAGGATTACAGGTGTGCACCCAGCCAGGTATGTTGTGTTTTTTTGTTTTTGGTAGCTATTATAAATGGGTTTCCTTCTTAATTTCATTCTCGGCTAGATCATTATCAACATGTAGAAAGGCTACTGATTTTCATATGTTGATTTTATATTCTGCAACTTTCTAAATTCATTTATCAAACTTAGGAGTTTTCTGGTGAAGTTTTAAATTTTATTTTTTGGATATGTCATACCATACCGTATCATCCATAAACAGGAATAATTTGACTTCATCTTTTCCAAACTGTATGCCTTTTACTTCTTTCTCTTGCTTGATTGCTCTGGCTAGGACTCTAGTACTATGTTGAAGAGAGGCGGTAAAAGTGGGCTTCCTTGTTTTCTTCCAGATTTTTGAGGAAATGTTTTCAACTTTTCCTTATTCAGTATAATGTTGGCTGTGAGGTTATCTTATATGGGCTTTGTTATTTTGAGATATGTTCCTTCTATGCCTAATTTATTGAGGGTTTTTCTCATGAAGGGGTGCTGAATTTTATCAAATGCTTTTCTGAGTCTATTGAGAAGATCATATGATTTTTGTCCTTAAATCCGTTTATGTGATGTATCACATTTATTGATTTGCATACATTAGACCATCCTTGCATCCCTGGATAAAACCCACTTCATATTATCTTTTTGATATTATCTTTATATTACATTATCTTTTTGATGTGCCATTGAATTAGGTTTGCTAGTATTTTGTTGGGGACTTTTGAGTCTATATTTTTCAGGGATATTGGTCTATAATTTTCTTTTTTTGTTGTGTCCTTATCTGGTTTTGGTATCCGGATAATACTGGCCTCATAGAATGTGTTAGAGAAAATTCCCTCCTTCTCTACTTTTGGAACAACTTCTTTTATCGTTTTTATTTCAAAAGGCTTTGATTATATAAACTATTTGCTTTTTACTTTGCTAAAACGTGATCCAAGAGTTTACAATGAATTACAACATACAAAACACCAATAACTTATTGGGGTTGCTATTTAAATACCAAAATGGTAACACACTCATGAAATGCTTTTGAACTTAAAAAGTTGGAGAAATATTTTTCTTGCAAACAGGACAAACTGTCACTAATATTACATAGTGATCTTGGTTCTCAGTGGCTTTATCAAAAGCTCTTAGTTTGTTACAAGCATATGTAACATGTGCAATTTCTCATGTGTGTGAACTAATTTTCTTTATGAAACTTTTAAATATGCAGAAAATAAATGTGCATAAAA